TAAGTTGGTACCAACTTGTTTTTTTCCGGTATAGTCTATTTAGTAGGGGAACCCTCCCCCAAAAAAAGTTGGTGAGAAAGGGCACCTAGCCGGGGGAACCTCCATGCTGAAGAGGTTACTTTCCACCTCCGGAGGTCCAATCGGCCTGCTTCTTGTCGCCCGGATGTCTCGAACACCTCCACTCAATCTCCCTGACCCCGCCTACCCCGGCAAGGCCGTTCACAGTGAAGGGGGATGGCAGGGGCGTCAAGGGCGTGGCCAGCGACTGCATCAAGGACAGTGGGGTGCGCTGCGGCGTTGAGACTCCTGCACCTTGCGGAAAAAGCTCCGAGCTGCGAGAAAGGGCATGTTTGGACTTGTACCCTGCAACTAACATGGAACCTGACCTAGGTCCTCCAAAGAATAAGGGTACCTTTTTTTGTGTAGTCTATTTTAGTAAGGGAACCCTCCCCCAAAAAAGGGTAAAAAGGCACTACTCGAGGACCTAGACATGGAACCTGACAGGGAAACGGTCCCTTTAACAGAAACCAATGGTCCGAACCAGGACCCCGAAACGTCAGGCTCCACGTTGGTCGGTGGGGAGGGTAGATCGAACTCTTTTCCTCACGGGAGAGTCATGGCTTGTTTTGTCAGGCCTTTGAAGAGAAACCCCAACACGGCGACAGGCTGGTCCTTTCGGTTTTTGGGACGAGAAGGGGGGGATCTCACAAAGTGTCCTTACAAGCAGGGGACTTACTCTATTTCTTACTGTCAATGGTGCCAAATCCGCTTAGGCACCACTTGGAAACCATGGTTTCAACCATTGTTTTGTAAATTTGCAGGGGAACCATCAGAAACCAGGGCTTCTTAGGTGGTGCAGGATTTCCAGAGTATGTCCTCTTAGAGGAACACATTTTTCCCCGTGGCTCATGTATGTTCTTCGCCATATCGATGAATTGCATGCTTCAGGAGCCCAATCGGCCAAAGATCTGTGGCACTGGCCTTAGAAAAAACTGAAAGCGGTGCATTTCCCAGTGAAGGCGTCCAAAAAACAAAAACCTCCATCTTCTTCAGCCCCTTAGCAAACAAAACATTACATATATATACGTATACATGTCCAATGGTGAATTCGATTCCCTCTAAAACCAACAGGAGCAAACATATTCTTAAGCAACTGGAAGAGGTATCGGGACCCAAATAGCCCCAAATAGCTCCCTTCGAACCAAATTGCCAAGCTGCCACAAACCACCAAAAATCGAGTCTATTGGGGGAGACTCCGAATCCGCCTTCTTCTTTTTTTCAAGTGTCGTTGAGTCGAAAGGGCCCGCCCTTTCAAGGCGTTTTTTTTGGGATCCTGGGTCACCATTGCCCAACATTTTACGGAAGATGGGCCTAAACCCTTCGAATGTTTGTGGGGCACTTAGAAATTAATAGGAGCACCATGTCGCCTAAAGCAAAATGAGGAGCCCTCTCTGGGAATGATCGCAATTGGTGGCCAGTGGCTTTGGATCATTTGGTCTTCGTCCATCGTGTCACAGAATACGAAGCACAGGTTTTTTGGAGGCTGAGGCCACGTGGTCTCCGGCTTTTAGAGCCCAACAAGTCCTCAGATTCTTCATCAACACCCCGGTATTCTGGTATATGGAATGGTCCCCTCGCATCAAAACCCGAATCGGCTTTGAGCATGTTGGTTGTCTGTAAAACCTTCTACCCGACTCGGTTTTGAGCAAGTGACTCACCCATGGCCTTTTGGAACAACAAACGGCCCTGGTAAATGGAAGAACCCCCGCCTAAACCAGTGGAACCCCTCTATTCTCAATCAAACATCACCTAAGAAGGACGCCTATGGACTCACCCCGACTTCGCCCCTTCGTGGCCCGAACCGCGCGTTTTCGGCCCCCCGCGGCATCCAGGGCGCCCAAACTCTCCGCGATGGAGATGGCCGGAGGGGGTGACATGGGCGCGGGCGAGCCGAAGGGAGGGAACGGAGGCACCTGGCGAGCTGGCGAGCTGGCGATTCGCAGTCCCCGTACGGCTCATTTCCTGGGACAATTTGGAGGGCCCCGCTTGAAGTGTAGGAATCCTTTTGGAGGGGGGCCCTTCATTTTCCCAAGTTGGCAAAAGAACGAATCTGCGTGCAACGACTTGTGTTGCTTCTTTTCTGCCACGCGCTCTCTTGGGAAGCTATGCTTCTCCAGGGCGAAAATGGTGGAAAGCCGCCAAAAGGGTGCGAAAAAGAAGATACTCGGCCTTAGGCCATGTTAGGCGCTCCCCATAGATTTTTGGGATTGGGCGGGCACCCCTTTTGGACGGCCAAGTACCATATAGGACAAGGATGGACATGTACATGCGCTCGTCTCAAAATGATCTCGGTCTTCCTCTTCGACACACACACACACACGATTAGAACAAGGGTACCCGTTTTTCTGCAGTCGATTTTAGTAGGGGTCCCCTCCCAACCAAACAAGTTGGCGAGAAAGGGCACCAATTGCCGGGGCCCAGCGCCCAGTGCACGGATTCTCGGCTTTCAGCTTCGATCAAAGTCGGACGCCCGGCCTGCGCCAAGACCTCCGCGGCCGCCTGGGCTGCCTGGGCGTAGGGCTCCGGCGTGTAGGGCGGCGCCTATCGACCGCAGACTGCGAGGTGCGCAGCTCATGAGGCCGGGACGTGGCCAGGTCGGACGCGCCGCAGACATCAGAAATCTTGGAAGCTTCGAACATTGACTAGGTCCTCCAGTGGAGAGGTTAGAATAAGGGCACCCGATTTTTTCGCCCAGTCTTTTTTAGTAGGGGAACCGAATCTCCCAACCAAAAAAGGGGTGAGAAGGGCACCTGGCTGGGGGACCTAGTTTAGATTAGTATTGGAAGGGAGATATACAGAATAATTGTTGGAGGAGGCCAGGCTTCGGGACTCGGACATCGCCAAACATTTCAGACTTGCGGGGGGGGCTTTCCACTTCGGTGTCCCCTTCAAAGCCATCAAAAAAGAGGTGCCTGCAGTTGCCACCCTCAAAAAATGGTTGATTACCCAAAATCACAAAGTCGTAAACCCATTTTGCAAGGGTCATGGAGAGTCCTACGGCTGTTTTTAAGGGTCATGGAGAGTCTACGGACGAAACCTTCCTCAAAAGAAAGACGAGCCGCCCGAGCGACCGCTTCTCAGACCGACCTCATTTGGTTCCCACTCGCCTTGGCCTCTGGCTCCTCAGGAGGGCTGAGGCCCGGGGCGGTGCCTGAGACACATGCACCACCCCCTCGCTTGGTGCGGGAAAACACCTCGAGTCGTTTCCTGCACGGGGATGAACTTTTTGATCCGGGGAACTTTTGGACATCAGAATTTGGTGGGGATTCAGGGTTCCCGCCAAGTGTATCTACAAAACTCGCCAAACTACTTTGACCCCGGTCAACGTAGCAGTGATAGTGGCCAGTGCCATAAGTTGCAGGCGGTCGGTCAAACAGGACATCATGGAGTTTATCTGGGTCGTATCCGACAAAAGCAGCCAGGCGGAAGACGTGTCCTCCCTCAGGGATTCCGTTTCAGGACGCGTTTCTTTAAGGGGGCCAACATCTCCAAACTCGGTCCCTCGCGGGCAAACCTCAGCTCCTGGCTGACTGCAGAGTCTGGGCTGCTGTTGTACTCCTCTCGAAAGGGATCTGACGGAAAGACTAAGGCTAGGTCCTCCAGATTTGAGAGCTTAGAATAAGGCTACCCGAATTTTGTTCTGTCTATTTGGGGAACCCTTCCCCCCAAAAAAGAAACGGTAAAAGGGCACTACTGGAGGACCTAGAGGGGACTCAAACTGTGTTTGGTATTGTACATATGGGTGCGTCTTGTTCTGAACCCCCCCTCCCAAAAGAAAAAGTGGGTGTTCTTGTATTCCCTTAAAAACTACCCCAAAGAGGGTATACACCCTCAAGAAAGACAACCCCCCCTCCATATGCGGCTCTTTTGCTGTTCTAGGTGCTTTTTCGTGATGGTATAAGATATCAACCAACCGCGAGTGATCAAATGGCATTCCCAAGCAATAGGTACAGCTAGCACAGGGGGATTTGCGAGAAATGCGTGGGACATCGGCAATTGGGGGGGGGTGTTGCGTGCGCTAACGGATTGTTCCTCACTTCACGTGGAACACGTTTAGCCAAACTCAGGCATGCGCATTTACCCGAACAAGTTTCTCCAATGCAAGACATGAGCAAGGGTTCCGTACGAAAAAAACACTGGGCCCTGGACAGGACCCGAAACTCGGCTTGCTGACCCGCTTCTCTGTAGGTTCCGGCATTGGACTTTCGAGTGGCCAACAGAGGCGTGGGGCACTGCAGATTTTCAAGACAAGCCATTCGTCAGCAGTTCACATCAACATCTATGATGTACGCACAGGAAAGACAAAAAAAAGGAGAAACAAAAAGCATGCATGATGGCTCGCTGGCAAAAACACACTGCACATATCGTGTTGCAGAACCAAGAATCAGCTGCAGCAAGTCTGTTTGCTGCAGCTAGAAAGCCGGGTCTCAGAGCCATGGGTCAAATTGTGGACCTTTGCGGCACAGGTCCCCAGGCTTTGAGGATAAAAAGAGCCTCCCAGCGTGAGAACATCCCCAAAGAGGGGGTCCCCATGTCAGAGGGTCATGAGCATAGGTGTCCTGTTTGGAAAATAGATGGCCTGGTAGATTGAAACCAGGAATCGCCCTCTATTTTCCAACCAAACCATCCACAAAGGACGCCCAAAGGGTCATGAGTACGCTCTGAGAACGAACTCTTGAAAAAGGGCCATCCTCAGAGAAAAGTAGTTCTAAGTACCTTCTCAGGGCACCATGGCCTCCTGTGCGCCGGTTGGGCAGCAGTCATTTGCTTCAGCTTGGTTGAAAACAAGAGGCACTATAGTCGGACAGGCGGTTCACACGGTTCACGCAATGTCACCCCTATAATTTTTGCTATTCACGGCTTTCAACGTGACTTAACGCAAGTTTCACGCACACCAGCGTACACGACTAGGTCCTCCAGTAGAGAGGTTAGAATATGGGTACCCTTTTTTTGTAGTCTATTTTAGTAGGGGAACCCTCCCCCAAAAAGGGCGAGAAAGGGCACCCAGCTGAGGGACCTAGACAATCATGCCCTGAGAGTGGTTTTTCGAAGGTCCTCCAGAGAGACTCTTGCCCCAAAACATGACCCTTGGGTGAACATGATTTAGATGAAGTCGCCATGTCCGCCAACCACTGAACACATGGATCCCGAATTCTTTGGCCCCAGCTCTGCCCACCGAAGCGACGAAGCGACGAAGCGACGAAGCCGACGAAGCGACGAAACGATTCGACTCGGATCCTTGCTGTCGAAGCTGTTCCCGAGGAGGGCGAAGTGCGAGCCCAAGCTCTGCAATGCCTCGACCCATGGGAAGAGCTCGGGTTTGTTTGGATACAATGCCACCAGGTTTCCATACAATGCCATAACCTGTGTTTCCATTTACCAAGATTAAAAACCATTGACATCTTAGCTTCAACCATTGTTTCCATTTACCAAGATGCCACTTTGGGCACCAAGTTTGAAGTTGGAGTCGTGGCCCCATTATCCTTTCGGTCTTTAAAAGGACGGCAAGCCCTTGGATATCCTTGGATACCTGCAAATGGAAGGAATGGGCAAGCTGTTGTTCACCAAGGACATACAAGTACTGGTTGGTGTCAACATGGGATGACTCTGGTGGCTTTCCTTTTACTTTCTCAGGCTAGGTTCTTGAAAATGGGATGCTGGATGTGTCCAAAATGCTGTGGACGACATCCTGCCCCAGTAGGCATCATATCAACCAGCATTTCTTGGGTGGTCGTCCATCCACAGCATGTCTCCAATCTGTCACCCGCAAACCCTGGTTTCAAAGTCTGCCCAACGCCATGTACAGAGTTGAGAAGGCGGCGAAGTCCTCCCTTCATCTACCCAAGTTTTTGAGCAAGCTCACATGTTGCCCGGCACTAAAAAAAGAAGAAGTCATCAAAACGTTTGAGACCTGACTACAAAAAGGGAACTTCCTGGGCCAAAAACGTCGACACCTCTTACTTTCCCCTTACCCTCCGGGTCTGCGTCTTTCACGGAGCCGTGGGAGAAAAAGAAAACACAACTCTATATATATATATATATATTTAAAAAAATGATTTAGAGTTCAAACAAAAGGTTTAGGGTTAAAAAAAGAAAAGACAAAACAACGGGTTTAGGGTTTAAACAAAAAAGAGGAAACAAAAGAAAGAAACCGGGTTTAGTTGATATATATATATATATATTTTTTTAGAAAACAAACGGGGTCTTGGGCTGCTTGGGCTGCTTGGGCTGCTTGGGGAATGAGAGAGGCCACTTCGAGCCTATCGGTTGCTCTCTCGGCCGGGTGACGGCACCGGTTGGATGTCACTTGAACGCGAGCCACAACTAGGTCCTCCAGTAGAGAGATGAGAATACGGGTACCCGTTTTTTGTTCTTCTTTGCTTTCTTGTTTTTTTCTGTACATTATATTATAGTAGGGGAACCCTCACCAAAGATTATTTTGTCTGTCTATTATAGCAGGGGGTTTCCCTCCCAACCAAAAAAGGAACGGGTGAGAAAGGGCACCCAGCTGGGGGACCTAGCCAGGCCTCTCGGATCGGGGTCCTGGATACCCTGTGATTGAGGGCTGGTTTGGAGGATTTTCCCAAAAGGGACTATTTCCCTGGTGGCTTCCAGGGCAACCTGGCCATCAACCCCACGACACGCAAGTGACAAAGGCCGCTAAGCTTTGCATGGGACCGTCGGGCCCCCGGTGTGACCAACATAATTTGACACAGTTGCGTTTCTCAAAATGCCAAAACCCTCCACATGATCAGTCCTTTCCTTGAGGGCACCCTGTTTGGGTGTGCTTGAAATCAAACAACCAGGACCGCCATCATCGTGGAGGATCGGTCCCCTTAAAGAAAACACACACCCACACGCACACGCACACCCACACCCACACCCACAACCACACGCACACGCACACGCACGCAAGCGCGCGCGCACACCTAGCCCCAAGCTCCGAGGTGTGCCACTTGCCCAATTCCTCGAGCCGGCCCAGAAATGGCTCAAGCTCAAGGCCCCCGATGTCAAGCAAAACTTGCTGCTCAGGGAATGAGCCGAAGTGTTGGGAATGAACCTAGGGATTCCCGTAAAAAGGCGACCATAGTGGATTGTTGATAGAGGTCAGTCCCTCATTCCCCTGCTGAGAAGAAGCCAAAAGATGCCCTAAACCAACTGAAAACACCTAAAACATCTTAAGTAAACCAACGAAAAACAACTACAATCCTACGGGGATGGCCTAAAAAAACACCAAACATTGTAAGGGGATTGCAAAAAAAACGCACCAAAAATCCTACCGGGATTTCCTTCATATTAAAAATACAACATCGGTAAGGAACCGGACGGTCCACCCAGTGCCTGCTTCAGCCGCTCATTCTCCGCTTCCAGCTCCGATTGTTTCTTCTGGCATCGGCCCTCAGCTTCTCGACGGTTTTTTTGACGGTTACGAACATGGGGGTTGATGAAAAGGTCCGTGATAATGAACACCCCCTATTAACAAACCCCTGTTTATTAATATGGGGGTGTCCCTCCCTGGTTTTGGTGGGGATTGTTCACTTTTGGAGCGAAACATTCCCCTATTAATAAACTGGGGTTGATCAATAGGGGGTCAACATTAACGAACATGGGGGTTGATCAAAAGGTCCGTGATACATAGGATGACTGGGGGAAAGCACTAAAAAGATAATGTTTCAACAACGTGGGAAAAGCTTGGGGTTGATCAAAAGGTCCTTTAGGATGACCACAGGTTGTGAAACCACTAAACAGTTTTGATATTTCCAACCATAAATGGAAACAAATGCCCATGGTCATTTGTGGCCGAACGGAATACTGATCAACCCCCACATGGAAGCTGGAATGATCGGTTCCATGTTAGTGGGGGGGTCTGCTTTCTGCCGATCGCGGAAGCTGCCAGAGTTTCATTGGCAAGGAAATTCAAGCCCGTTGGCCCAGTGTGCACAATGTGGGGAGGGGCACCAGGCGCACATAGCCCAGGACACGCCGAACAAGCACCGGGAAACTGGACCTGCCTTCAAGCATCTCATGTCAGCATCGAGTGGTTGGGGAATGCCTCTGCTTCCCTCAAGCAAATGGTCTGACTGCTCCTTAAGCTTGCTGGTGCTCAGTAGGGAATGACGCAGGGTGTTGGGAATACACCATATCGGGGATGGGTTTTTCTCGGGGTCATTCCATGTCTCATTCCCTGAGAAGCAACAAGTCAAAACATCTCCTCATGGAGTGTGATGTCCCGGCCAAGGAACAAGATCCTCCACCATCTCGGTCATCTTCTCAGCGTGTCTCAGCCTCGCCCAACACCCGGGCGTAGGCAACAGAAGGTGTGAAGAACATGTGGGGGGGGGGACCCAACAAGTGAAGACATCCGAGTGCTTTGAAAAGGAAACAGATCTGTCAGCCACCAAGCAAATGCATTCAGGACAGAAAATACGTAGAAGCCCGCGCAATGGAGTGTGAGCCATACAGCATCTCATCAGGCTGAACCAGTGCACTCAAAGCAAACCTCTGGCGAGCGACCTGAACAAATCACACCTTAGAGGCATCAATCCCCCACAAAGTGAGGCCAGCAAGAGGAGAGCTGAGCCAACGCACACAAGTGACCCTGATGGTGGTGAAACGGCTAGTTTCCCCCCGAGACCCCCGAGACCGGCTCTGTTGCCCGTGCATTTTAACCCGTGCTCCTTCCAAAGTCGCGTGCTTCAGTCTGGGCTCCGCGCTGCAGCTGGCTCACGAACTGGCAGGCGGCCAGACTTGGGGAGGGGCACTTGGAATCTAAGTAGAACCCGTCGAGTAATATTTTGGGGGGGGGGCCCTTTTCGTGGGCGTCGTGTTGGCCAGGACCTGGAGTGCTTTTGGCGGTGAAAATATGTTGTGTGCGTGTGCGCAGTCCTGCGCGGACGCACGTCAACGGGTGTGCGTATCATTTGGCGGGCATGTGTGTGTAGTTCTGCGCAGACCCTCGTAAATGGGTGCGCATAGTGCGCTTATGTTTTGGCAGGCGTGTGCAGAGTGCTACGCGGAGCGGCTGTGCATTTCATGTGGCAGGCTTGTGCGCAGTGCGACGCGAAAGCACTTGAGCGAGCGCGTTTATCATTTGGCTGGAGTGTGCGCAGCGCCACGCTCACGCGTGTGCTTATCATTTGGCAGGCGTGTGTGCAGCGCCGCATATCATTTGGCCGGCTGAGAAGGTGCTAGGTGAACGGGTGTGCTTACCACTCCAGGAGCCGAAGCAAATTTTGCGTTGCAGTCGGGCTGGACGTAATCATGTGTGCCCCAACCCCCCCCCCTCCACCCCCAAGACCCGAATCGCGCTTCGTGCTGCGGGTCCTCACCAACACGACACCTTTTAGTGGGTGTTCATCACTTTTGGAGGGAACGCCCCCCTATTAAAAAAGACAGGTGTCTTGATCCGGGGCCAGCATTAGACGTTTCGTCATGTTCCAGTGGCTCAGCTGCTAGACCAGTTATATCAGAAAACCATTTGCAGGTCTATGCATCTGGGTTCACCTAGACCTTCTGACGCCCCATGTGTACGAAGAGGGCAAACTGTCAGCACCTGAGCCGTTGCCCAAGGCCTAGCATCTTCTTCTTAGAACCTTTGCCTGCCTGTCTCGCTTCTTGAGTGGATCGGCCAAAATGGTCTTCCCAAAAAGTTTCAAGTCCAGGAACCCAGGCAGTGAGCTGTCGGGTGAATGACTTTCCCAAGCCCATCAACGAACTGAGTCATGGAGAGCACTGCTCACTCCTCATTTTTTGTGGGCATGCCATGTGGCGGCTTTCTAATATGCCAGCCCTCAAGAGCAAGCAACTCAACCCAAACCTCTGAGTCACCAGGTCTATCTTCCCTGAGATTTCTGTCGCTTTAGCTCGCTTTCATCAAAGCAGGTCACAATGCCGCTCAGCGTGGGCGCGTCAGATCATCACCCCCCCTCCCCCCTGGTTTAATGGGGCGATGGACAGATTTCAGGCGGTTCGCATTCACTCAGAGCTTTTGGTGTGGGTCTTGAGCAACCCCGACCCCGAAAAAGAGGGTTCGCGTTCCCTTTCATCTGAGCCCCGAAAAAGACTCGGAAGCCACGGATTCACTCCTAGGTCCTCCAGTAGAGAGGTCAGAATAAGTTGGTACCAACTTTTTTCTGTAGTCTATTTTAGTGGGGGCACCCTCCCAACCAAAAAAGGGGAGAGAAAGGGCACCCAGCTGGGGGTCACAGTCCTGCACCTCGATTTTCGCTCAGAGCCCCAGGGAAGGAGCCGCCTGCTTGCCCTTGGACCACATCTCTTCTGACTTCTCCTGCACCTGACGGATGGCCAACCCTTTGCGAACATAAACAAAGAGGGTTCTCCTAAAGGACATGGGACAAATTGTGTGAACAACAGCAATCTGGTGGCTCGTCCAATGGTGCACCACTATTTTTGCTAAAATAAGGAGTCTTTGCGAGCATAAACAAAGAAGGTTCTCCTAAAGGACATGGCACAAATTGCCCGAAACCAAACATTTCAGTTGCCCGTCCAATGGTGGACCATTGCTTTTATTTCGACCGAACATTCCGTGGGGAAATCGAAGAGGCCCCCAACATCTGTGTGGGGAAATTGGGCCCTATGTCCTCCCCAAACCAGGAATAGACTGCCGCTGTGCATTTTTAGCAACTCACAACATGCAACTAACCAGTTGCACAGTTAGTCCGAACCCGTTTGCGGGCAACCGATAAAATCCGATGGCGATGTGACGATGTGGGTCTGTCTTTTTTTGGGTCCTACTCTTGCCTTCTCGGTTCAATGGGAAACCACCCCAAACAAAATCAAAGAAGATATGCCCATATGTCCCCCAACGAACTGATTCGGCCTTGAACACTGCTAGGTCCTCCAGTAAAAAAGATTCGACTAAGGCTACCCTTTTTCTGTAGTCTAGTTTAGTAGGGGAACCCTCCCCCCAAAAAAGAAAGAAACGTAAAAGGGCACCAATCGCTGGGGGACCTAGACTCGCCCGTGGCCCCCGCTGTTCGCGCGGGACCTTTCTCCCGCCTTATGCTCCACCTCGGAGAGCACGAGCTCTCGAATAGCCTGGCAAAAGCGCCACATGGCTGTGGGTCCAAAATGGGTACCCGAAATAGAACCCAGGTAAATGGAACCCAGGATTAAAACCTGGGGTCCCCTGGTGGTTTAATTTTGACCCACACCCACATTCCATTGGACCGCCCATGAGGAAAACGCCAAAAGGCCCCAAAGGCACCCCGCCTTTGGATAGTGTCCTAGGTCCTCCAGATTTGAGAGGTTAGAATAAGTTGGTACCCGATGTGTTTTTCTTTTTGTTTTTTTCTCCGGTAGTCTGTTTTAGTAGGGGAACCCTCCCCCACAAAAGGGGTTGATAAGGACACTACTGGGTCCTAGTTTCTGTTGTCCTCATGACCAGGAATGACATGTGGTTTCTTTATGGGTTGTGCTTACTTGTCTTGGAAGAGCTTTTTGGAAGAAGGGGATCCTGGAAGATGTATAAAAAAAGGCCCGCTCCGCGCGCATGCAGGGGCGGGAGTTTTATGTGTCTCTCCTTCTAAACAAGGTAGAAGTTTGGCTCTCCAGGGAAACAAAAGGAATCCAAAGGAAACATCCGGAAGACGAATCCGAGGAATCCGATACGAAAACAATGTCCGGGGTGCGGCAGCTGGGTCCAAGTCGCGCCAAGATCAGAGCGAGCCAATGATCCGCACACACCATTTTTGGCCGACATTTCTTGCATGTAGCGTCGATGTCAGAGAGCCCTGAGCAGTCAACACAAACTCGATGGACTCAAAAGTACAGCCAGCTCTTTGCTTGTGAATTGTACTTGCTCGCCTAGATCTTCATATATCTTCATGGGCGAAATTGAGGTCGCGTTTTTGCTTGTATAGATTCATCCCAGGGGGAATGATCAATGCAAGGGAAATGCTTCTGATTCGTATTGTGCTCCTCTATGAAAAAAAAAAACGTTCACTGTTGGGCCAAAACTAGCTGATCCAGCCGGCTGTTGCACGAATTTGCCGCTCCAGCACCACGACACTTGCGGTACGCTGCCGGAAGCAGATTCTGCGGGCCATGCGCCCTGCAGAAAAAAAGAGGCGCTATAAGATGTGTAAGGCGGCATTGGGAACATTCTGCTTGCGAATGCGCCAGCTTTACAATGCTTCTGCAACATTCTGCTTGCGAATGCCAGCTGTACAATGCTTCTGCAACATTCTGCTTGCGAAAGCGCCATCTGTACAATGCCTCAAAGATCAGCTGACAGGCTTAGCCTATCCTTCAGCCCCCGGAAACCTTCGGGGGCTCTCTGAATTCACCACTCCAAGCCTCCCCATGACCTCACTCACTGCAACTGGGGGGGGTCTTCGCACTCGCTCAGCGCCTTCTCAGCGCGAGTGCGGCGCCCAGCAGAACCAGGCCCACTGAGGGGGCCAAGCCCAGCAAGGACCGTGTCCAAGACTTCGTCGGCCTGCGGATGGATAAAAACAATAAGTGAGTTGAGTATCAAAGGATTGAAATATCCTTGTCCCAAGAGATAATTCCTCTGTTCTTACCACCCCTTCCTCCGCTGGTTTGGTGGTGTTCTGGAAAGAAGAATCCATGGAAAGAGAAGTTACTGAGTGTCCCAAGTAGACTAGGTCCTCCAGTAGAGAGGTTAGAATAAGGGTACCCTTTTTTTCTGTAGTCTATTTTAGTAGGAGGACCTAGTAGAAGTACCTATCACCTCGGCAATGCTCACCTTTCTGTTGGGCCGTCCCGCTGTGTTTTTTCCCCAGATAGCTGAAAGCTATAGTAGGGTTCTAATTTCTAATTAGCACGGGAAAGTGGTTTGTGAGATTCATGGGCTGGTGCTAGGGGGCACGCAGTTGGGGTGCTGGTGTAAGTGCTGTGTTGGGGGGGTGCTGTTTGGAGGCTCTATATGAGGTGCTGGTGAGATTGACGGCCGGGTGCTAGCGGGCATGCAGGTGACGGTGCGGGCGCAGTTTTGCAAGATTGATGGTAGGGTGTTCGGGGGCACGCAGTTTGGGGGTGCTGTTGGAGGAGCTAGTCACGGCGCGGGCGCATTTTTGCGGGATTGTCGGCCGGGTGCTGTTTGGCGCGCTCTTCGGATTTGCTGTTGAAGATGCTGGTGTACAATCGTTGGCAGGCCTTCGCTATCAGCGGCCGATGCTGGCGTAATATTTTGCTTTTTGTTGCGGCCCTCCTCGTGCTGTTCGTGAAGCGGCTTCCAAAACAGGATGCCCTCTTTAGACTGCCAATCTTCCGGGCAAATCCAGGCTAAAGGATTCCTCTCGTCGAGCTTTGGGGCACGTGCTTGCTTCAAAAGGACAAGGGGCTGGTCGACTGGGGAGCAAAACAAGCAGGCTTTGTTGTGTTGCGGCTTTTCAATTGCTACCTCCATGCGCTCCGATTCCTGTTTACCCAACAAAATGGATGCGTCTCAAAATGAGACACCCTTTTTGGATGCTGCCGGGAAAACAAGGAGGATATCAACAACCGATGGGGGGGGCGGTGGCTTGATAAACTCCCCTGCAAAGCAACATGACACTTGGAATTAGTTCCCCAAAAGGAGTTTCCTCTACAAAGGATGATGCACTTTAGTCTAGAAATCGTGAAAAAAACCTCAACATGTTTTTTTAACCTGGTGAATCAGAAGCCATCAGCTTCCCGATTCCTGCACAAAAACGACGGATTGGTAAGCCGCCCTCCGGTCTGGGCTAGAACCATCCCTGAACCCCATGCCAGTTCAAACGGACAACCGGGGACCCCAAATCCCTTGCTAAAAGTCCAACTTTTAGTGGTTCCGTGGAAACGACCACTAGGTCCTCCAGTAGAGAATTAGAATAAGGGTGCCTTTTATCGCTGTAGTCTTTTTTAGTGTTTTGTTGCAAAAAAATGCAAAATGGCACTACAGGGGGACCTAGACCACTAAACTCTAGATTCCTAAAAGGGACTGGGTTCATCTGCGCACTTCACAATCAGTTTATCTGCGCACCCAGCAAATGAGGGTCAACCGCGCACTGGGAATTCCATTCATCCGCGCACCTGACTGCCCCGTTTCCCCAGGATCGCATCGCGTTAGGATTTATGCTTTTGTGTTTGGCTCACATCACTGTAGGTGTTGGTGTTCTGGCATCTAGAATTTCGTTCACCCGCGCACCTGCCTGCCCTGTTTCCCCAGCGCCGCGCACTTGTCCTACCAGTGGATCACATCACTATTAGGATTTAGGCTGTTGGGCTTGGCTCGCATCATTCGCTCACATTGGGTTGAGGCTTCTGGGTTTGGCTCACATCACATTAGGATTTAGGCTTTTGGGGTTGGCTCGCACCACTGTAGGTTTTAGGGTTCTGGATTTGGGTTTAGGGTTTAGGCTTTTGGGTTTGGCTTACATCACTTTAGGTTTTAGGTTTTTGGGCTTAGGATTTTGGGTTTGGCACACATCACTTTAGGGCTCGCAACACAACACAAAACAGCACGACGCGACATGACCGGCGACATGGATAGCTGTTCTTCATGCAATGTGTGACATGTGACATGTTGTCTTGAATCCAATGACGGATGGAAGAGGCTGCTGTTCCCTACTTCCAATCTCGCACCCCAGAAGTTACAGACATGCGCCTGAGAGCCAATGAGAAAGACTTGAAGCATCAAAGCCTGCAAGAACCATGTAACCTCTGAATGAGTTGAAATACTTCAGGTGCGCAAACAAACCGATTTCCAGGTGCACAAACGAACCGATTTCCAGGTGCACAAACGACACGCATTCCTGCCTAAAAACCTAAGTGGATTGGAATCACCAAAATACATAGCGAGCTGATCCTCAAATTTTGCCCCACCTTTGCGTGCCCTTCAACAATACGGGCTCCTAGAGACACACTTTGGAACGCATGCCCACCCGAGTTGGGAACCCTAAACAATCTGGCCAGGCGCAAGCCAAGGATTCTGCATGCTGCAGTTCCTTTTTTCGACATCCCTGTCATATCCTGCAACCAAAGGCGAGGCCAAGACTATTGTTGCGGCAAACTCCTTTAAAGGGACAGGGAGGATCTGATAGTCTAAAGAAACTCCCCCCCCCCCCGGCCCCGTACACGAATGTTGACCCCGGATCTAAGTAGAACCCCTGGTTGATTTTGATTGGTCTATTGATTCAGACCGCTTTTGGAGGGACCACCCTACTTAGATCATTTTGATTGGCGTCCCCTAATCTATTGATTCAGACCACTTTTCAAAAAACACCCCCTACGGGTTCTACTTAGATCCGGGGATCACCCCAATCCTTCGCCTCGCGAAGAGCTCTTCGCACCCATCGTTCTCCGCGAAGCGCTCGATGGCTTCCACGCACGCCTGCCCCCGGCCCCAAGCCCAAGAGCCAAACAAACCACACAGCTCCCACGGAGGAACTGTGGTTGCGAAATCCAGAAATCAAAGACCACGAAATGAAACCATGGGAATGAAACAATAACGTTGGCTGGTATTTACGTTGGGGAATCAACATTCCAGGGTTTCTTAGTATGGTGCAATATTTTGTTCATCCACAGAATGAAACTCTTACTCCAAATTGGTTTGTTCATAGCCGCGTGTTCCAACCACCTTTTACCTACAATTCAAAAGTTGCCGCTGGGGAGTCTAGGCATTTCAAACGTATCCCGACTTGACAGTAATGTTGACTCCAGATTCAAAACCGGTTCTGTTCATTGGGGGGGTGTTCCCCTCCAAAAGTGGTCTGAATCCCCAAAAGGTGATTCAGACCACTTGACACCCCGATCAAAGTCAAACGGGGGTTTACAGTTACTTTTACTACTCCGGGGTCAACATTAAATGATGGAGGATGATGCATCTTGTGACCTTGGGGGGGTGGGGTGGCACGGACAAGTCTTGCAAAGGCCAAAGACCCCAACGGCCGGCGAGAGCAAACCCACTGGCAAGCTGGGAGATCCGCCTGAAATTGGCAACTTGCGCCAGAAAACTCGCTGGAAACTCGAGAATGGATGGGCTTGGGCTTTTTCAACTCGACACCCAACCACTCGTCCGCTTTTTGGTTTGGGATGACCGAGGGTGCAACCAAGCCTGATAAACTCCTACTAGGTCGGCTGTAGTCTATTTTAGTAGGGAACCCTCCCCCAAAGAAGGGTAAAAGGGCACTACTGGGGGACCTAGAAGAAAAACAGCACTTGACTTCCAGACAGCAAGAAGGGCCCAGCAGGCTCGGGCGGATTCAACTCGGCGCGCAACCACTCTTCCGCTTCTTGGTTTGGGATGACAAAGAGCGCAACCCAGCCTGATCAAACTCCCATCTAACGGTCTACAGTCCACAAGCGTTCAGCTGGGCCAACCGTAGGTGCAACCGCAGGCTATGATTTTAGCTGCAACCGCAGGGTGTGACTTCATATAATTTCGGGTGACCTGAAACGAGTTCTAACAAACGGGTTCAAGGGAACTTCACACACACACAACTGTCAAGACAGCGATCAGCACTCGCTCCTCTTTGAACCCCCTGCAAATGTTTTTCTTCGCGCTCGTTTCCCAATGGTTCGTTACTTCCATTCTGCAGGGTTTGGTACCGGAAAAACTCAGATTCCAGTGGATTTCCACCGGGAAAAAAAGGATGCATCCCTTTTTTGGTTGCTTGAGTTTAAAGAAAATAACTCTTTCCGAGAAAAAGTCACGAACAAAGGGCCGCCAAGAATCATTGGGGAACCCTCCCCACCAAAAAAGTTGGTGAGAGAAGGGTACCTAGGACCTAGAAAAGAAAACACTTGACTTCCACAGCAGGCTTGGGCTTCTTCCACTCGGCGCCCAACCGTGGACTCTTCCGCTTTTGTGTTTGGGTTGCCCCCGGTTAAAAACAAAAAAAAAAAAAACGACGCCTCGCTCCCAACTTGCGGCTTTCGGCGTTCCGCCTCGGCGCCCTTGGTCTTCAGCAGCTGCCGCTGCAGCTCCGAGGCGCGCTGCTGGTACCGCGGATCCTCCAAGACCTGAAGGACCATGGGATCCACCCCCTCACCTCAATGGGAGTCAGACTAGTGGTTTGTCTTCTCCCTTTTTTCTTCTTTTTTTTGGGGGGGGGAGGTGCCTGTAGCTGGGAACTAACACCCGCTTCACTCTAAACACCAGTTGAATCATGAAAGCCGAAGTCAAGAGTTTTCCTGACATTGTGATAGAAACCCCCCACACACACCACACGAAAACGGCAAACTAACAATACACGAACCAACAACTAAGGAAGCACGCACGCACGTAAGCAAGCAAGCAAACAAAAGCAAACAAACAGTCAAACAAACAAACAAAAAAGACAACAAACAAACCAACCAACCAACCAACCAACAAACAAACACACACACACACACACACCCACACACACACACCCACACACGCCCACGCGCCCACGCGCACGCACACGCACACGCACACGCACACGACACACACAGACACAGACACAGACACAGACACAGACACAGACACAGACACAGACACAGACACAGACACAGACACAGACACAGACACAGACACAGACACAGACACAGACACAGACACAGACACAGACACAGACACAGACCCAGACGCAGACGCAGACGCAGACGCAGACGCAGACGCAGACGCAGACGCAGACGCAGACGCAGACGCAGACCCAGACGCAGACGCAGACGCAGACTCAGACACAGACACAGACACAGACACACACCACATGCAAAACAAAACAAACAAACAAAAAACAAACAAAAAACACGAAGAACATTATCACAAACACACGAGCGGACAATGCACACAAACAACAAACAACAAACAAACAAGCAAACACACAAACAAAACAAACAAACGATCAAAAAACAAGCAAACAAACAAACAAACACACTAACTAACTAACTAACTAACAAACACACAAGCAAGCAAGCAAGCAAGCAAGCAAGCAAGCAAGCAAGCAAGCGAGCGAGCGAGCGAGCGAGCGAGCGAGCGAGCAAACAAACAAACACACAAACAAACAAACAAACAAACAAACAAACAAACAAGCAAGCAAACAAACACGCAAACCAAACAAACACACAAACAAACAAGCAAGCAAACAAACACGCAAACCAAACAAACACACAAACACACAAACACACAAACACACAAACACACAAACAAACAAACAAACAGAACACACAAAACGGGAAAAACACAACAACAACAACAAACAACACACGCACAATACTGGTTCTTGTTTTGCAACTATTGGCCGAGAGCGTCCTGAAGTGTCCTGAATTTGGGCTACTAATTAAGCTTTCTTCCAGGTATAGAGTCCAGAAACCGGGGAAGTGAGTTGCTGACGTGGAGTATCAAACAGGCGAACTCTTTAAACAGAAAGAATCAACGACCCGTTTCGAGGAGCCTCTTGCGCGAAATCGGTCGACTTGTGTTGTTTGGCTTAAATGGGCTTGGTCGACTGTCACTGGAGAATAAAACTGGATCCATGCAATTGAATACTTGCTCGATGTGGTGGGTGCCAATAAAACAAACTGCCAAGAAAAGATGGAGATTGGACCCTGGTTGAAACCTTAGCAAGTGTCCAAACCCAGAAACCCGTTGCACATGCTGTGGCAAGAAACAAACATTCCTGCACTGGATGTGAGAACTCGCAGGTGGCAAACTCAAGCGTTCCAACGTTGGAAAAAGCGGGACATTTTTTCAGCGGCGCCGGGCAAATCTTGGGGCCCGGCTGTTGGAACATGGATGCCCTGGATCCTCAATCTACGGTTGAAAATGGTTGAAGCATCCATGTTTTGCTTGAGGACAATCCCACGAACGAAGGGGGGTGGATCATATCTCACCTGCGATCGGCACCGGGCCTTGGTCACTGCAGAGGTGACAGCCGCCGCTGTCAGCTTCCTAAGCGACCGTCGCGGCGGGATCACGTGAGGAATTGCCTGGTGTTGCACCATGGGGTAAGAAGGCAGGCTACTTAGTGGTTAGTGACCCGCCCCTCTTTGTTCGTCCCCCTTTCTGTGGGTTACAACTAAGGTCACCAAGCACGAGTTCTAAGTGCACGATCGCCTTCTTCAGCACCTGCCAGGACAAAAAGGGGCCATCCTTCTTTTGACACGCCCGTGTTCCAAAAGAGTTGAAGAGGACCTCCCGAGCTCCCCCCCAAAATATATATAAATAAAATATAATAATAATAATAATAATAATAATAATAATAATAATAATAATAATCATAATAATAATAATAATACAGTATTTGAAAAATGCATCCCCCAAAGCAATGGATGGACAAACACCCCCCTCCAACACAAACATACATGGAAACACCCATTCCCCCCCCCCCCCCCCAAAACAAAAGGATGGAAACCCCATCCCCCAAAGGAATGGGTTGAAAAAAACACCCCCTAAAAGAATGGATCTAAAAGCCATCCCCCAAAAGAATGGATCGAAAAACCACCCCGCAAAAGAATGGATCGAAAACACCCATACCTCACAAAAGGATGGAAAAACCCATCCCCGGTGCCCTTTGGAGTAATGCGCTACCCACTGGAGCCCCTCCCCGTTCCGCCGCGCCTGGGCTGCAGCACCTCGGCCATGCCGCGGGCGTGGGCGATCTCCGCGTTCTTCGGCTGGTCGGCGCGGAAGGGCAGCGCCACCATCCTCGGAAGCTCGCGACGGCGGTTGAGCCACAAGCAAAACCCGGCGTTCGAATGGACCCAGAACCTAGGGAACCCTAGAAAACCCTAAGGAATGTAGGGAATCTGCACATAGTGCTTGCAACCTAGGTCCTCACAATGTAAAGAATTCACTGGGTCCTCCAGTGCAGAGATTAGTTTATAAGGGTGCTCGATGTTTCCCTGTTGTCTATCTAAGTAGGGGATTTTTCTGAGAAATTTTCTGGGTTGCGTGGGAAAAGTGGCCGATCTCATTGCAGGAAGATGAATCCACCCCCATTGCCAATGACCTGGTTGAGGCGAAATCCACACATTCGCACCATGAAAGGCAGCCATGGGAATGAAACACCATCATTTTCTTTGGTGGTGCAGGATTTCGTCCATCCACGGTATGCCCCTTTTTGGGTGGTTGAAACGTCACGCGCAGGCTGAATCTATAGGGCCATACCCGGTATGAAGCCCTGTGGGTTAGCCAACCATTGGTGGCTTAGGTGTGGGAAATCCGCCTTTCCTCACAAGTGGTGGGTTTAGGGTTGGGGAGTGCGTTTAATGATTAATTCGACTGGGGGATCGGTTGCTGTATAGGGGGTGGGTTTGGGGTTCGTCTCTTGTGGTTTAATTTCGTTTCAAGGGGGTTGTTTCATACTTACTTCGAGCTAACTACTTCTGTGCTTGGTTGGAGGCTACGAGAAAAGCTTCCTGAGTCACGAGTCTCGTTGGCGGCGTGTTTCAGAACGGCACAAGAAGTTTCTTCAGGGGTTTGCTTGGACCACACCCAGCTGCATAATACCAGGCTTAACAAACACCCCACATACACACACTTGTGGCGCTTCCCATAGAAAATAGTCTGATGCCGTCTGGATCCCTTCCGTCATCTTGCAGAGACCGTTGACATATCTTTCGAAGCATGGGAAGCAAAGTCTGGTGAGTCAAAGTGTTGTTTTGGCAGAGAAAACGGGACAAAAAAGGGGCCCTGTCAAGCGTGTTGAGTTCCAACTTGCGCGGCCTCGCCGCTCCAATCAAACAAATACAGGTGTGAGCATCAGACCTTTGTGCGTAACTGTTTTGAGTGGGACTCCTAAACCAACCAACATTGTCGAACTGTTCAAATCAAGAAGAAGAGAGACCAAAAAGGAAGGGACCGGTCAAGCATGTCTCCGGACGCAATTTGCGGAATTGAGGCGAATGTCTTTGCAACCAGGCGTGCACACACACACACACAGACACACCACGCACTCACACACCTCTTCTCGCCCAAGTATCTTCTCCATGCACCCCCCCCCCCAACCCCCTCAACTTCAATTTTGTCAAAGAGCGCTGTGACATCTGAAGCCAAACTTGGTGTTAAAATTTCCGCAGTCTTGGTTGTTCGATTTCACGTCCAACTTTGAAGTTGGGGGGACAAGGCCTCGACAATGTGCTTTCTCGCAGAACCGGTTGCCATCATCCCCCAATAAAGGACCTGCATCGACTCCTTCTACTTTGGATCGGTGAGCTCGCTAAGGATGGTCCTAGCCCAGAGCTGGAAAACCGTGGCGCCGGAAACTGCCGAGCTGGAGAAACGTGGCACCCTGGCAAAACCTGCGGAAAAAAAGGTCCCCCGCAACCGACTCTTGGGCATCGGTCCCGAAGGCACACTCGCGATCCCTAGGGCTCTGTGCGAAGCAAGCCGCGGCTTCCCGGCGGCGATGGTCTCATTGAGCCCCCCAAAGCCGCAGTGCGTCCTCAGTCGAGGATGTTCCCCCCGTTTTGGAGGCTGAACACTTCCCCCTAAAGTTGGTGGTCAGACACTGTGGTCACCTTTTGGACACGGACAAATACGGGAAAACCACAAGGGCAGGGCCGCTTTACAAAGCATCTTTGCCATATGACTCTGAGAGCGAGCAAAACAAAGCAATGCTGACCCTCAGAAGGCAGGTGGAGAAAAAAACAATTGAAACATGAAACCCGAAACCCAAAAACACCCCCATGTCAGAAACATTGGACAGTTTTGCGTGAAACATGCTTCACCTCTCCTGTGCCCAAAAGTCTCAGAAGCCACCGTAAAAAGGGGGAACTGACTTGGCAACTGCTGGGTTCGCCAAGGGTCACAACCACCGCCACCTCAGGCAGCTGCATCGCCTCGCCCTGCAACCCAATGCTTTGAGGCGACAGGCGATAGGAACCCTTTTCAGGTTGGTCAGTTGGTTATATTGGGAAAACAAAAACCCAATGACTGACACATCCCTATTTCGACACATACCCAAGGATCTGGGCAGCCCAGCCACCGGGTTCCCGGAAAGCTGTTTGGGCTCTGCTTGGAATTGCTGTCTTGAAGTCTTCTTCTGGCTGCGCAGTGACGGAACATTTCCGGGCCGTGCGGGTGTTCTGAGTAAAAGCTGGTCGGCCGGCCCAGCTGGCCGGCGGAAATAGAGTTTTCCAAAGTGCTTGATTGCTTGAGTCTGCTTGCGCGTAAGAGGTTTTGGGCGTTGTTGTTTTTCCTTGAGTCTTTTCCGGAGGCTCCGTCGGTGCTGTCCCTGGGCCCCTCTTTGTGTTAGGCCACCTTCATACCACGGATTTTCCTTGAACAAACACCTGCTTAGATGGTCCTCCAGTAGAGAGGTGAAGGTTTAGGGTACCAACTTTGTTCTGTCTATTTTCGTGAAAATTTTCCACCAAAACAAGGTGAAAAAGGGCATTAGTGGGGAACCTAGGCTTAGATGGTCTGGGACGCACTGAATTGGTAGGGGACTTACAGCTGTGGCTTTGGTGGGTACCGCGCCTGGGGCAGCCACTTGGACACGTAGAAGTGCGCGGGCAGACTCTCCAGGCCTGACGAATGGCTTGAATCAAGCTCCTGTCTGCGGGGGCTAGAAGGGAAACCAAGAGAAAAACCACCCATTGGGGCTTGAAATCATGTGTTCAAATGTTTCCTGAAAATGTAACATTGAAGGAGACACCTGTTTTGGTTGGTAGGGAAAAGAGAATCGAAGCTTGTCCAAAGCGAAACTTGTCGCTTGCGCCGCTGCAGCGGATATCTGCGAATGTGGGGGGTGGGGGTGTTTCTTGTTTTGTTCTGTGCTTCTGATGAAGCAATCTCATGTATGCGTTGGCTTAAGGCCTGATGAACTTCTTACTGCAGCAATAGTAGAAAAAGGAGCCATCGCCTTGCTGATTGTGCGGATTGCATTATTTGATCCTTCTTCAACCAAACACTGCCTTATGTCACGCGGTGGTCGTTTCCCTCTTTGCAGATCTATTATCTTGCATCGGAATATCTGAACTCCTGGAAAAGCTACGAGGTGTATTGCTGGCCATATGGGACCCCCGTACTTCCAACCTCGGGGGGGGCGCCTGCTGCTGCTGTCAGAGTCAGATCTGTTGTTTTATGACTTTGTTTCTAGCGGGAACCTTCGCAAAGAGTGGTTTGGAAGGTCAAACCAACCGCAAAACAGGGCACCCGCCAAGACACACCCGTATTGTTGACGCTAACATTTACTGTGGGGTTTGCTTCAAAACTGCGAGCTCCCTTGAAACCGACCAAAATGGGATGTCTCCAAAAGAATACACGCTCGTGTGCCGCAGGCAAAAGTTCTCTCTGGTGGCATCACGATTGTGCGCCGAAGATATGAAGTGATGCTCAGTGACCCGTGCTTACAACTGGAAACTCTACTGGAAATCCTTGTTTTTTGTCGGGGCTTGTGTAGCTGCTTTCCATGACCTGCAGACGTATGCCTATTTTGGACAGAATCCTTGCATGGTTTTGACAGTACTTGTTGGGCTTGAACTGATGCGCCAACCATTGGTTGCTCAATGTATCCCCCTGTATGGAACACCCCTTGCCACTGTTACTACATTGCCTTCTGCGATTCTGGTGCGTAGAGAGCCGTGAGTAGAATCATGTCAAGCGTTTTTTTTCAGGGTAAGTCAGAATCATGCACTATTGCTGTGTAGGCCAGAACCCACACTCTTTACTTTAGGCCAGAACCCCCACTCTTTACTTTGTGCAACCGGTCACCGTTCAACCCTAACCTAAGATTTAATCCCTTACCCACCATCGCCAATTTGGTCAAGGGCGAAGACCTAAAATGGTCACCACGGAGGGGGGCCGAATAACCACACACAAGTCTGACGTCATCAAAACTCAATCTCGCTGTCTCAAAGAATGGTACTCCAAAATGGCACCTTGGTCAATATGGAAACAAAGACTGACACCTGCGTAGCCCGTCAGGTAGCTCACAACCCTCTATTTACTGGGCTGTGCTTAGATTCCCTGCCAAAGGTTTAACTTGTGGGTTAAAAACAAAGCCAACCACCAAACCAACTAAAAACCAAAAACCTAAAAACCAGAAGAAGTGGAACTAAGATACAGGCACCAACATTCTAAGATACCAAGATTTAGTTTTGTTTGCCAGGCATCCCACCTCTCATTCCCTAAGGGTCCCTCTTGCATCCCCCCTGTCTTGACTACTTGGCGGGCTACCTGGAGCAGCAGTTCACAGGGAGGGAGGGAGGGAGGGAGGGTAAAAACATAGGCACCGCTGAAAAGCGGGTAGCGCTGAAAAGCGCACCTTTTTTTTGGGCACGTGGTAAAGATGACCAAGCAGGCCTGGCCAGAGAGGGAGGATGGTCATGGGGCACTTTAGCCTGCACCAAGACTGCAATATTCAATGGCCTAGTGGTCAATATATATCCCTGCTTTGCTTCAGAACTGTAACAACTGCAAAGCACTATGCATAGAGGGCACAGCCATTGAGAAAATGCATGTGGGGCTACGTGTGCTGACCATGACCCTAAGTTTCATGCCCTGTTGCACACCCGTGCACCAAACCACACTGCAGCCACAATGTGTTTGCACACAGACGCTTGCAGCCAAAGAAGTTGCCATTTGACTGTTTGGGGCAGCTGGGCACTAAGGCTCAAGCCCTGCACTGAGGTTCACTAAGGCCCCAGCAGAGCGGAGCCTGCTGCAAGCTAAGGTGCCGACACTAAGGCCCAGGCATCTAAGGCCCTCACTTCAGGGTGACACAGGCCTGGCAGGCAAAGAGGCAATGTTGCCACTCACTAGGGCGCAGTCACATTGTGGGGTTGTAAGCCTGCCAAGGCATGGACTCCATGCCTTGGATTTTCCTATCACTGTAGGGGTTGGGAACAAGTAAGACAAAGGCCAGAGGCTTAAAGGATGTTCAAGGCAAGTTTTCGCAGTTCACCCCAGCCCTTGTCAGACACTAGGGCCCCACTGACTTTTGAAGGTGTTGACCGATTGGAGGCTGGGGTTCTGCCAGCCAATGTTGCACTTTCGCCAGGACAACTGTTCAGCTTTGATGCTCCTTGATGGGATTGTCAAATTTGAACACCAATTACACACTAAACATTAATGCCAGAAACCTTGAAGACATCATGCAAGGGGGAGGGCAAACCTTCAATCAACCAAGTGGCGCAAAACATCTAATTTCCAAACAGCTCCATTGGGCAGGAAATTCGTTCAGCACCAGACCAATAAATGCTCCAGTCCCCCTCCCTGCCCCCCAGCTGCAAGCCATGCGCGTCAGCCCCAAAGCCCCAAGTGCATGTGCTGCATCGGTTGACCCTGATGAGTGCTGCCCGCAGGTGGGCTCTTCAATTGCAACGCAAGGAGAAGCCCATTGATAACACAGCGCAAACAGACATGTACACAGTGACCTTGAGCCTAAACAGGCGCAACTGAGCTGCTCAGCAAAGGCCACGCACGGCACATGCAACCACACATGGGTAACACACACACACAAACACCCACCGCTTCACAAGCTTTTTTCCAGAACGGCGCCAGGTAGCCAAGTTCAAGCTAGCCTGCAGGCCTGTAGGCCTGCAATGCTGGCTTCACTTCTTAGACATCTCAGGCTTCTTGGCATTTGATGGCTGGCTCTTGGAAGAAGAGCTCTGCTCCTGCTTCTCCTGCAAGTCCATGATCTGAAAGTGCAAGTCTGCATTCTCAATGCAGAGGGCGTCCTTTTCCTGCGGTCAAGTCAGGGGTAGCAACTGCCAGGCCCATGGTCATGCTTGGTCAACCCTGCCTGGTTGCACTTGTCATAGACCCGCTTCCACATCCCCTGGTGCTTCTCCAGAACAACGTCCCTGCCCTTCTTGATCTTCTCAGTCTCTTGCTCAGCCTTGGCACGGAGGCACGTTTCCTCCATCAGATCATTCGCAACGTGCTTGAGTGCAGAGTTCAGCTCCTTCACATCATTCTTCAAGATGCCAATTTTCTTGTTGGAGGTTGCAGCCTCCTCTGTGGCCACCTTGACAGCCTTCTTGAGTGTTCTGACACCTTGCCGCTTCTCATACGAAAGCCCTCTCTGTTGGGGCATTGCCTGCAAGCTGTCTGGACTGCAAGCCTGCTGGCCTGCAAGCTGTGCTGTGCTGTGAGCCAAAAACTCATGGCAGTTCACATTGGGCATGCAAAGGTGCCCACCCACGGCAGGCACATCATTCCACTGGCTGGCCATTCGTTCAACATTATCATTTCGGTGTGCGCACACAATTACCCAGTACAGTAGCAGGCTCAACAAGACAACAATTTGTTTTCCTCTCAAACTGACATCCTCACAGCCGACCAGCAGATTGGCTTCCCCAAAGCACCTGGGCATGGCTGAGCGCAGAAGACACAACTTTTCAAGGATACCCAAAGGCTAGACACAACTGGCAGACAGCCCACAGACACCACAGCTTCAAGAATCCAGGGGTTGTCTCTTTGTGGCAAAAATATAATGAATCGAGCTTCACAATGTTAAACAGTCACCCCCTCAAAATAGCAGTGTGTCACACATTACAGTGGCACGCAAGTCCGGCCCCTCACCTGGTGCGCCCATGGTGGGTGTCTACTTCAAAGCATGGCAGCTGTCATTAAAGGCATCCTGGAACTGCTTTTTGGGTTGTTACTCTCTTTGGTTTTGCCTGACCAGCATCATTGCATTCACAATTTTGGATGGGCCATTTCTCCAAGTGCAGGCAGTGCTGAGCCACTCCAAGACCAACACACATGCCTTCACTTTGGGGAAAGAACTTCAAAAGAACGAGTGCGGGCATTTTCCCCTGGCAAGCCTTGGATTTTGGGTGGACCATGCCATGGATGCCCCATGCCATGGATGCCATGGCATGGACAGGGCTGTTGGGATTTTGGGCACCTTCCAAACCCTGAAAAATTGGCGCACACACACACAAAGCCCAGGGTTATGGACATGAAAGCAGCCACTGAGGCCATGGCAATCTGGAGACATCACCTGGCAGACATGGGATGGCAAGACCCGAAAGGAGAAGTGCCTTTTCAATATGAAAAGAATCTCGTCTCTCTTTTTCTGGCATGCTCAGCAAAAATATCGCATGGCTATCAAAAGAAGTAGGCAGCAAACTGCGACGCAGTAGTGGAGACATGCGATGTCCCAGGACAAGTTCCTCACCAAAAGCCTGGTCTCATGCAACTCCTCTTGGTTGGCCTCAAGGGTGCGCCTCATGGGTCCAAGCCAGTCTGAACCTCTGCCTGCAGGTCTGCAAGCCTTCCAAGTGCCTCCTGCAGGTCTGCAAGCCTTCCAAGTGCCTCCTGAAGCTCAGGTGTGCAGGAGCTGTTCATGGCTCAAAGCAACAGGAAAAAGGGCCACCTAGCGCACTGTGTGCTTGAGCAGAGGGGGCTCAGGAGGCCTGATATGCCAACGCAGCACATGGCAAAGACCACCTGTGGCTAGCTGCGCAAGGTAAACATGCAAGGATGGCCACCCCACAGCCAAGGAGGGAACAGGGGCTTGATGTGGGAACCTAGGCTGCAAATGCAAGAAATCCCACGCGTGCAGCTCAAGTTG